GCAAAAAATCAAATTTTACATTTTTCAATTTCTTTTGATTCTACTAATTCCACAATTGAGTCCAATAATTAGTCCATTTTTATTCCATTGATTTTGAACAAATATTCAACAGGAGGTGGCAGTAACGTGGTGGTGATGGCCTAATGGTTCGATTGGGATGATAATCAACCTTCAAGTTTAACATAGAGGGCTCAAAGGCGAGCATTATTGCCAATTCCTCTCCATTGTTTTTTGAGATTTTGCCACATTTTCTCTTTGAATGCTTGAGGAGCTTTTAGTTTTGAGGTGGCGTTGGGACTGGAGGTTGAGGCAACGACAGCTGGGCGAGATGGATTTTGTTTTTGAGTGATTAAGGGGGTTGGGGAAAGAAGGAGATGAGGGTGGGTGTTTTGTTTTTAAATTTAATTATTGTAATTATATTTTTATTTTATATTTTTGCGAAAAATGTAAATTTAAATGATACCCTTTTAAAAAAAAGGTCAAAATAAGTTAAATTTTACTATCCTGACTAACGGTCAAATTAATAGAAACCATCCATTTGGACTTTAAATGAGAATTTTTGAAATGCTTGGTACCGTGAATAACACAAATAAAAGGTTTGGATCAAGTTTGCAATTAAATGAAAGGTTTGGTATCATGTCCATAATGGAAAAAAGTTCAAATCATAAATGTAACAATGAGTAAATTTTATGAACCATCATGCAACAAAAATGTAGTGCATTTAAAAAAACAAAAATGTTAGAAAGTATTTAGTCATTTTTAGATAATGGTTTATCCCCACGGCCAACCCACCCACGCCCTTTTTTTGACAAATTTAACCTTTCAATTATACATCATGTACATGTTGCATGACATTTAAAATCTGGGCGCACAACACCGTTTACAACCCTCTCACAGTTCGAGGGGCCTATGCGCAATAAAATATTTGCGGGTTCTCCCCACTTGTGAGGGGGTTGTAGCCCGAACTGTACAGCTCGGGCTGTACAAACAACAATTTCCCTAAAATCTAAATAAATGTATCCTCTAAAGTGACATTTCATGCTTACAACGTTAAAAGACTGAGAACATAATTGTCGCACTTACAAAAAAAACATTGAAGAAGCCTAGCGAAATTTCGCCCCTTCTTTTATTAACTTTTGCCTTTTAAATTAGTCGTAGGTGAAATAGGCAAGAAAACATTTTAGTATATATGATTTGGTGTTCTCATTTTTTTTCTCATTAAGTTCATTGGTCTATAAATGAAACTTTTGTCGACTAAAAAACATAGACCTAAAGAGCTTTGAATTAGTCTATGTTTATCTTCTCAGCATACTTTCAATTATAAAGACTAATTTTCTATGGAAAATTTTTAAATTAGTTGAATATGTACGGGGTTTGTTGAATATGTTTCACCAATTTTCTTGTGTACTAGTCTGTACTTCAATTAGTAGAGATAATGCAATAATTAATTAAGATTTTGCAGTTCTTTAGACTAGCTCCATAAATCTCTTTTAATATTAGACTAAGATGCACATGGTGCAATTACATGGAAGGTCTATTATTATTTGACTGTTCAAAAAATAATTTTCATCAATTTAGATGACGATGAGTGATAGAGCGAGAAAATTTGGAACTATGTTTGAAGTTCAGTGACTCGGTGGAGGTTGACAAAATTTTAGTGATTTAATTGATATTCCGCTTTGGGCCACACGATCGTAATCTTAGCAAAATACGATATGATTCACATCTTTGTAAGTGTCCAAAAAGTAGGGTCCTTTCTCAGTTGATCACTTCCCCTAGTCAACCCATTAATGGTGTAGTTGATATATGGTGCAAAATCGTACATTTTAGCATTGATTATGAAATTTAAAGAAGAATATAAGATGTTTGAAATCCTACATTTCCCTTCCTTTTTTTTTTTTTTTATTCTCTTAAAAAAGAGGAAATTTTATATTATTGGGATGGCAACATTTGGCCCCCACAACTTTTCTTTTGTATTTTGTAATGTTGCGTTTAATTGTCAATATTTTTCATGAAAAATATGTTTTTCACTCAAATTCCTACTTTTGTACTGTTGATTTACATTTTTCATAGAAAACATTTTCTTACCTTTTGTCATATGACCATATTTTTCTCAAAATCAAGAAAAAAATTTCTTTAGGTGGAGTAGGATTTTATTTTCCAAAAAATTCACTCTCTTTTTCTCTCTCATCTACCCATCAATAAAAAATGGATAAATATAATATTTTCTAGATTGAAAAATTAAATCAATCAAATACACTTAATTGACAATTTTCATACAAATAAATTTTAGAATTTATTTTTTTCCTATACAAATTCTATACTTTCAATCAAACGCACTTTAAGTAATTTCATGGTTCGGTCTGTCGATCAAAAGACTTGCAGAGAACTCCTGTCCTTCTAATGAAATCATAATTCTCAATGGTTCTTAATTTTAGAATTTATTAATTTCTGGTTTTATAATTTCTACTTATGACACATGTAGAAGATCTAGATCAAATCTTGTAGCCAAGTAATACTCGACATGCCCTCTTTGTGAGGGTAATCGATGTCGAACAGTGTGCATTAATATTGAGGGTGATCAATGGTGATTGGACTTCGCCAAGAAAGTTCAACTATTTATATATGAAGCTGCTTGATCGTGAGAGACTTTTTGTATAACCCAAGTCTTCCTCTTTTGGTTGGTCTTACTATAGAAATCAAGTATATTTGATTATAATAAATGCAAACCAATATTATTGGACGGCTATAATTAAATATTTGTTGGCGAAAATAGAATAAAATCAATGCACAAACAGTCAAAGAGACCAATCCTACGGCATCCACGCGTTGCATACGGTTGTACTTTCGATAGATAGACAAAAATACCCACGGTGGCATTATAGTAAATATTTTGAAGTGACGTCTGGCGAATAAAAAGGTCACAACTCACAACACAACCCAAAAAAAGTATTCCATTTGTTGACAAACTGTTGCTAGTTGGAGCCCGCATCAGTCTCCACCTCCCTCACCAAATTCTCTTGCTCCCAACTCCAATTGTTACTTAAGTCATACTTTAAGCTCATAATTAAATTATTTTTGTGACAATTTTGATCGTCAAATTAAATAATATTACATCATTAGTCACATTATTATATTAAACCTTAACATAGATCAAATATCATTTTTTTCATATCCAGAAATTATAAAGAAACTGAATAAGATAGGATCGAAGAGATCTTTTCCTTCCCATGATGGGTATATGATTCAAGAAAAGGGTCATGATCCAGGTTTGAGTATTCTTTCTACCATCCTTATCAGTGTTCGGCTACAAATTTAAAATTAAAACATGATTCTTAAGATAAAAGACTTCATGTTCGACAAAAAAATTTCAGGTATTTTGTTTAACTTTACTTTTTTTCCATTATGTAAAAGGTTGCAGCAGAGCTAAAAGAGGAGGAGATTAATTGATTGAATAATCGTTTAGTCCCGTGAAGGTTTAATAACTACCAAAATGATCTTCAAGATATTTGTAGGATCAATTTGAAAATTTTCTTGAAGTTGAGTAACCATGAGAGAAATTAAGTCATAAGGTATCAATTGGGCCGTTCTTATCAGGGTCAGGTTTGGTACTATATGAGTATTGAAAGGGCACTGAATAAGTACGGCCTTACCTCAACATTTTCAGTCCAATTGTGGGGTGGTGGTGGGACCTACGCTGTCTAAAATAATTAATATGTGGACGTAAACAGCTGTCCCCACAAATTTTAGGTCCGTAAAATTATTTAATAATTAATTTCGTTTTCAAAATGTTCGTACTTTCCGCACAAGAATTATGTGTGATATGTCCTTCCTCAAATAACTTCTCCACCGAATAAACCTAGTCTACTTATACTTTCTTTTTTCCAATATTACCCTCGTCAACTAATTTTATTTACATGTATCCTTTTATGTCCTTTACCGTACGGCAGCTATCAATCTCCTCTAAATGACCAAAATACCCATATTAATTGTTAGGAAATATTAGAAGGGATATTTTTTTTCCCTTTTTGTCCATTATTATTTACTAAACAACCATTTAATAAATAATTCAATGACTCATTTGTTTTAAAGTTAAGGTGTATCTAGAAAGGTATTTTCCATTAAATTAGGACTTCTCATCCACCATGGGTGTGGAAGGCCTCTTCCCTATCATGTAAAGCTCGTTTTTATAACTCATGAGATATACACTTGCTGGAATTCATTCCTGATGATATGCTGTTAATAAGGTCTATCTATTCTCTCGATGCAATTTATCTTTTTAAAATTTGAGCGTAAAAGGAAAGACAAATATAATTTAACTAGCGTAATGAGCTTCTCATTCTTCCGACTTATTTGAAATCGATGGACCTGTATCCATTCTTTTTTTTCTTTATTCTTGGTAGCATCATTCTCAATCATGACATTGCAAGATTAAAACTTCAAGTAAAGTAAGTATCAGAAATTAGTAACTAGATAAGGGGCAATTACGTTAGATAAGTAGTTGATATCATCCCCTTGGTTGTGGAAGGCAAATTATATTCACATTACGTTTTTTTATTATGTTCACCGCATTTTAATGTTTTGAATTATTTTGGCTCATTTTTATTACCATATTTTATTAGTTTACACACCTTGTCTCTAATAACTATTCGTAGGACTCTACTGGCCTGGATTATTTGACTAACTAATAAGGTTAGTGATTCAAAATACTTATTAGAAAGGCATGAAGAAAGTCATTTACCTATCCATTTTGTTTTTAAATAAACAAGATTAATAGACAAGTTATTTGCTCTCATAGCAATTTTTTTTTCTTTTTTTGAATGCAAGTGTTATTAGAAAAAGATTTGCAAAATAATAGAAGGTTAATATTAAATTATTAACTCAAAATGTGAAGAAAAAAGATTGGAGAAATGAGGAAACATAACAACATTCTTAATTCTTTGCAATTAAAAAGTAGTAGTTGAATCATGCCAAAAAGGACAATATTGTAATCTCACAGATACATTCTTCTTCCTCAGACAATACGCTCTCGGTACTCATTTTCTAAGCTGCTCAAATCCATGCCAGTCTGTTCTGTTAACGGTTAATCCTCAAAGTATACATACTGTATTCATCTTTTTCTTCTGTAAGCTTATAAGTTATACCTACAAACTATTGAGTCTTTTTTCATTGATTGAAGCCATAAAGATCCAGTCGAATAGCTTCAAAATCCCATAAACTTTGAATCTTTATATCAATGAAGAAGAAAAAATCAATCCCTGAAGCCAGTTTCAATCTCTTTGATCTTCTATCTGTTGAGATAGTGTTCTTGATTATTGATTTTCTCAATGATGACCCACTTGATAAAAAATCATTTTCTCTTGTTTGCAAATCATTCTATTCTATTGAATCTCGCCATAGGAAGACCTTGAAACCCCTTCGTTTCGAACACTTAACAAAAATTTTGATTCGATACCCTTTTATTTCACATCTTGATCTCTCATTATGCCCAAGAATTTCAGACAGTTCTCTAGGTGTAATATCGGATTATTGTAAGGAAATGTTGAGCTCAATTAATCTTTCAAGGTCAAAGTTTTTTTCCCATGTTGGGTTATCAAATTTGTTGGTTAATTGTAGGAATTTGGTAGAAATTGATTTGTCTAACGCCACGGATTTGAAGGATTTGGCCGCGGCCTCTATAGCCGAGGCCAAGAACTTGGAGAAATTGTGGTTAGTTAGGTGCAAATCTATTACTGATATAGGGATTGGGTGTATTGCTGTGGGTTGTAGGAAGCTGAAATTGCTTAGCTTGAAATGGTGTTTTGGGGTTGGTGATTTGGGGGTCGGATTAATTTCTGTCAAGTGCAAGGAAATTCGCAGTTTGGATCTATCTTACTTGCCGGTAATACTGCTGTTCTTTGGCATTATGATTTTGATATTTCTTCATTTAATTCAGAATTTATAGGCCTTTTACTGTTAGCATATGGATTAGTATATGATGATTTTAAGGATCCTTTATATTTTCTCACTAGTGTGGTTTCTTCTTAACATTGCTAATAATCGAACGTGTCTTATAATTACTGATGACTTTTTTATGTTAGTTACCTTTGTTTGTTTCTAGGTAAATGCACTAAATGTTTGTAATTCTGCATGTTTCCATTAGAATCATCTATATTATTAGTTTCACTATGTTAGTTTTTGAAGCTGTACTTATTGAGTCCTAAGGTTCTGGCTTTGGGTATTTCTTGGATTTACAACTGCTAGCTATGAGATTGTGTTTTAAGATTACATATTACCTGTTTAAGTTATTTTTAATATACGCAATTTGTCAAATTATTCATCTTGCTCGATGTGGAAACTTTCATAGTGATGTGTTACAGGATATTGTCTTGAGTATTATGAAGATACACATGGCCTACTCTTACTGGGCGCATACATTATACATAGAATCTCTCTTGCATTTATTTTATTTTTAAAATAAATGAAACTTCGTGTGTTTGTGCACGCGATCAATAGCTGATAGATCTGACGTGGGACCAATGTTGTCAACTTGTTGCCATCACTTTATAACTTGTTTATATCATTAAAATAGTATTCGTAGTAGTTATGGACATCTTCGTAAGCATTGGAAGTGGTTCGTCGATGTTTTGATCTACATCACACGAATGCAAAAGATTTGTGTGTTTTATTCTGTCTTTTCATGGTTATCATTGATAGACTCCCAACAAAAACATGTGATGCCTTCATTTAGGTTAACATACGTTTTAGTTTATAAATCTTGTTTTCAGATTTGATGTTCTATTTTTTCTTGTTACAACATCAAGTTATTATGGTATTATGATTCTTCATCATTTGTGTTTTTGATATAATGATAATGATAGATCGAGATTTGTTGAAAGCATCATCTGATAGAAAACTCTTCTTTTACTGAATTTATGATACATCTGATTTGAAGTTATAAATTACAAATCATGGAGTATGAGCTTGATAACATTTTTTTTTCTATAATTTTCCTTGTGCAGATAACAACTAAATGCTTATTACAAGTCCTAGAGTTGCAACACCTCAAAGATTTGGTTCTAGAAGGGTGTTTCGGTATAGATGATGACAGCCTTACTGCACTCAAACATGGATGCACGTCTTTGGAGGTATTCATTTTGGGAGCTTCTACAAAAACTGTGTCTGGGCATATTTTGTTTCCTTACACTAATACTGAAGATCAGTAGATTTTGTCCTATCCACGTCTCTGTCCATGAATTAATTCACTTCTGAAGGATAACAAAAATAATGTTCATTCAGAAGTTTCGTACTCAGGAGGTGTTAATCTCTCGATATTCTTGCAACGTCTGTTTATATGATTACGTTATTAACTAATGAACTTACTGTCTTTTTGGTAGACACTTGATATGTCGAGCTGTCAGAATATCAGTCACGTTGGCTTGTCTTCTCTAACAAGTGCTGCTGGATGTTTGCGGCAACTTAGCCTATCTTATGGTTCTCGGGTGAGACTTTGGATAGTTTGACCCTTTCTTCTACCCTAACATGTATTATTTTAGCTCATCGTCTACTGCATTTCAGGTGGATCTTGCTCTTGGTAATAGTTTGCAAAAACTTTCCATGCTACAATCCATAAAATTAGATGGTTGCCAGGTTACATCTTCAGGACTCAAAGCAATTGGAAACTGGTGTGTATCACTTACAGAAGTGAGCTTAAGTAAATGCTCGGGAGTGACAGACGAAGGACTCTCCTCTCTTGTAACGAAATGTGTAGAATTGAGGAAACTAGATGTCACCTGCTGCCGCACAATAACTTATGCTTCAGTTGCCCACATAACGAACTCTTGTACCTCCCTCACTTCCCTCAGGATGGAATCTTGTACTACGGTTTCATCTGAAGCATTTGTTTTGATCGGACAGCGTTGCCAGTTTCTTGAGGAGCTCGACCTTACGGAGAACAATATTGATGATGAAGGTAACTTCTTTACCCAATAAAGTGTACTATATTGTAAAGAAGTCGACATGAATTTTGGTATTTACGAGATTTCTTTATTTGTATGCTTTTCAGGCCTAAAATCCATCTCGAGGTGCTCCCGACTTGCAAACCTAAAGTTGGGGATTTGCCCAAACATAACTGACAAGGGGCTGATCCATATTGGCATTTACTGTTCGAAACTTAAAGAATTAGATTTATATAGGTTTGTACTTATTTGGAGAAGGCAGTGGTTAACCAATCTTAATAATTTCGTTCTTGTCTAATTACAAGTTTGTGCTCATTTCAGATCCGCTGGAATTACTGATTCGAGCATCTTGGCAATTGCTCGTGGTTGCACTGTCATTGAAACGATCAACATAGCCTATTGTAAAAATATTACTGATCATTCTTTGGTGTCATTGTCAAAGTGTTCGAAGTTGAACACTCTAGAAAGCAGAGGATGCCCGCTTATTACATCGTCAGGTTTAACAGCTGTTGCTATGGGATGCAAGAAACTAACGAAATTAGACATAAAAAATTGTCAACATATTGACGATACCGGAATGATTCCTCTTGCTCACTTTTCTCATAACCTAAGACAGGTTTTTAGTTCAGTCGATTATCTCGTCAATTAAACATCATTGGCTGCCACGAAATATTATGTTGTAACTATTGTTCACCTCTTACTGTGCAGATTAATCTGTCGTATACCTCGGTCACAGACGTAGGCCTATTATCCCTTGCAAGTGTAAGCTGTCTACAGAGTATGACCGTCCTCCACCTCGAGGGTTTGACTCCCAGTGGACTGGCAGCCGCACTATTGGCATGTGGAGGACTAACAAGAGTGAAGCTTCAATCATCATTCAGATTGTTTTTACCACCACCTATTATTGAACATTTGGAATCCCGCGGCTGTGTTTTCCAATGGAGAGATAAAGTATTCCAGGTATCTTTAAATACGGTTGATGGTTCAACTCAGTCAGGTTTCGGTTGTTTATCGTATAGTTACAAAATCTGAACGATGGTAATCACATAAATTGGACGTCCAAGAAGCGCATTCTAATATGAGTGTAAACAAAATAATGGAACTTAGTATTATTTTTTTGTGATTGACAGAATGATATAGATCCCAAATCTTGGAAACTACAGTTAACGGAGGAGGAATGAAGCAGTTTCATGACATGGTTTGATCTTTCGAGTGAAGCAAATTCAATAAAACGACAACTGGTGCCATAGAGAAGTGGTCATAAATTAGAGCCTTGACCAATTTGAAAGATCATTTAATGACCAAGGATTTGCTTGTCCATGGACTTGTGGGTTACGATGAACCGATTATATCTTAAAAGAGGTATGTAAGTTGAGAGTTAGAGATGCTTCTTTCTGTACAATTGCCTTTGTTGGGTTTGTTATTCAAGTTTTTGTACAAAGAAGAATTTACGTGCTTATAAATACGATTTTGCCGAGTGATCTTTGATGGTCGAATGCTGCTGCTGAGAACTTCTTTTTATTATATAGGTCTTTCTTTTCCATGAAGATTGTATTTTTCTTATGCTGTTTTTGAGCAAAAACAGTAATGGATAATCTCAAGTTGCACTAAAAACCCTTGACCCTATTCTCAACCGATGTGTTTTTCTCAATGTTTTTATAAGCTCTTGTATGAGGTGCATTAAGGATTGGGTAATCCTATTGATTGTAGCTTTTGTCGGCTTTGCTCTAATAAGAGCTATTGCCTTAGATTTATATGGTTCTCCATCAACTATCGGTTTTGTTGAGGTCTTTTTCTGATCGTCACCAACCTCAAGAATCGAGATAGTATTGTTGTTGAGGTTCTATTTCTACGCTCATAACCAAGCGTTAGATCACACACCAAAAACCCGTTGCTCAAGTCAGACATGGGTGGTAGGGTGAAAAGCACGAATAGCTTGGATAAATTGTTGTGTGCGTATTCAATATTGCTTGTCATTACCTCTTTTTGTCCTCTTATATAGCCGTACCATAATAACTTGGGATAGCACAACATCTATCCTACATGACTGGGGTTAAACTACCACACATAAAATTAGGGTCTTGTCACTTTATTATTTTACACGTCAAATTTATTTATTCTCACAATAATATGATAACGTGGTAGAAACTAATGACAAAAATTGGGAAACTTTCAACTACACATGGATTGTGACCTAAGCATATTGAAAAAGTCAAAGAAAACAATGTCAAAAACATTTTTAAAACAAATAACTCTAATGTTGTTTCCTAGAAGAGGAGTGCTGAGCGTACAGACTCAACACTTATAGGGTCTTACCGACCCCTCACAAGGGTGAGCATAGGGTTTTTATTTTTTTTTTCATTTTTTATGGCGTTGGGGCACGCGTGGGGCCAACCCATGTGAGGGGTCGGTAAGGCTCCCCCCCCCCCTAGAACAAAGCCCTGTTCCTAGAAAGGCTGAAAATACTTGAATATTATACATTGAAGACTTCTGTGACCATAGTTATCTCTAAGTCTACACACATATATAAAACCAATTTCTACGTTACGAATGCCCCCAGGGCATATCTCCCAGTGGCAAAGGGGAGGGCGGATAGGGCTCAGCGCGACAGTGTGCAGAGTTCGATTGCCCGCAAGGTGGAATTGGCTTTGTTGCAAGCGGGAGTTACCATATGGGTTAACAGCCTTGGCCTATCCATGTGCTCTCCACCCTGGCTCCTGGAAGGCACATCCTGCGATTTACCTCCTCCACGATGGCCCAGGGCAGGGTCGGTGGGGGCCCCTAAGGTTGGGGTTCAAAAATTTCTACGTTACGAATAATTTCTGTTTTGGCAGCATCTTCATTTTCTCGGCTTTTTCGTTTTTTCGAAGATTTTGCTTTTGTACGGAAAACATAAATCTAAGGAAATATTTTGTAGTTGTCTGGACAATGAATCTTAACCTACATTTTTAAACTCACGTGTGTAATAATAGAAAAACGTGCACTCTTTCACTCTTTTGAAATTCCACTTTATATCAAACCTAAATTTTGTTGACTAAAGATCTCTCGTGCAATACACTCTTGGCCTAAGTTTGTCAATTGAGCGTATCTTAAAATAAGTTGAGCGTATGCTGTACTCTACTTAGATGGAGTTAAATAAACTATTCACTCACTTCTCTTATTTAAAGATTTTTAGTCCATCTTTGACAATCATTGAAAATTTAAATTATTTGCTATAGTATTACTTTCCACGACACATTCACACAATAAAATATTTTACATACAAACCAATGAAGTTTTCTTACTTTTTAACCTCATATTTCCAAAAATACTATTCAAAACTCTTTTATTTTTCAAATAATGAATGTCAAACAAGGCCTTAATTTCATTAGTTTCAACCATACTAAAAATTATCTAAATAGTGAAACTAATTTGTAAGTCAACATAAAAGAAATATTGGGCATAAATTAAAACAGATGATGTCTACAAAATTTTTTATTCAATACAATGTCTAGGACTATGTCTAGCTGAGCAGCAAACAAAAAGTAGGAAAACATCTAGACAAAGTGGTCACATGACTCACATTAATGTCTTCTTTCTCTTTCCTTCTTTTTATTTTTCTATCACTTTTTTTTTTCTCTCCTATAAATATATATATTAGAGAAGAAATTTGAATTCTAGACAGCACCCATTGGAGATAAAAAATTTAAATTAAATCATTTATTCATTACTCATTAATATCACGTAGATCAAAAGTCTTTCTATTTATATATCAAATAAATTGTTATCTATAAAATGCATTGGAATGGAAATACTCTTAGCACCACTGGTATTAATAATGCCAGTAAAGTTGCATGACTAAGTATTTATTTTGATTTCGTATAATTTTTTTATTATTTAAAATTTAAATGGTCAGAATCAATTCCAACCCACATATTTTGTAGGACTCAGTTACTATCTACTTAGCCACTAATTGTTATCACGTTATTGTTTGAGATAATCCTACAGATGTACAGAATTGTTGTACAAGTAATAAAATTTGTGAATTAAGAATATCGTTCCCACGAAGAGTAAGGCTTGCTTCGTAATTCAATAGTTTTTATTAAATTCGAAGTATAGTAACATTAAAAGAAAATTTGGTTTTGTTATTTGTACTAATTTCTACTCTAAGAAAGCAAGTACATATAAAGTTTTATCTATGTGATGCTTGTATTGGATTCATGTATCCCATATTTCTATCTATTTCAATTCTCAATAATTAATCTATTCAATTTGTGCATTTTTGACAATCGATAAAGCTAATCTAAAATATATTAAAAGCGAGGATTGAGGAGAAACTTTTGATTACCAATTGTACCCTTACATATTTAACTTTAAGTCCAATATACCCTCATTTATTCTCATATCTTTAATTTTCCATTTTACCCTTATATTTTTATGTTTATGATCAATAATACCCTTAAAATTAAATTTATTTCTACTAAATTCAATTATTATCGAAATTAAAATTATATATCTTTTAAATTAAGTCAATTAATTTCCACTAAATACTATTATTACTAATTATTAGTATATGATTAATGAAAACTTATATAAAAACAAAATAAAAATTATAACAATACCACGTATATAATTAATATGAAATGGCATAGACTATTAAATCAATTAATGTTAATATATAAGATTTATAAAAACAATACAATTATATATACGCTTAAATTTTTTTAAACCTAACATTACAGATTAAAAGAATAGTGCATTCCTAAAGATTTCATTGAAAATAAAACATAATAGTTAACAAAAAAAAAAAAAAATCCCTTTAACTAATGTTTACTTAATAAGTATTAGATGAAAAGTCACTTTATAATAATCCATCAACTCTTTAGTCACCATCACCATTAATTTATATTGATTTGATAAGATATGATATGATACAAAAAAATGTCATTTTTCAATAACCTAATTGTGAATAAATGATAAACATTCGATTTCACATTTTACTTTTACGTTTTTATATTTGTAGTGAACAATACCCTTAATACTCATTTTATAACTTCTAAATAAGATAATTAATAATTATTATTGCATTCAAAAATTAAGTCAATTAATTTCCACTAAATACAATTATTACTAATTATTAGTACACAATTAATAAAAAAATATTATTACATACAATTAAAAGAAATTATGATAACACAGTTTATATTTTTAATTTACTTGAAATGACATATTTTATTAAGTCGATTAACAAAGTTTAAGGATAAACAATGCTTACTATTAGAATATACATTTATGAACATGTATTATCTTAATGACAAGTATATCTCACACTTTTTTTGTAAAATTTCAACGCAAACAATAAAAGTCTTGATAAAAGACTAAAAATAAAAAATAAAAAGAAGAAAAGTTATAGGATGTTAACAAAGAATATTGTGTGCAAAGAAATGTTATTCAAATAAAAATATTATATTTTTTCTATATATATATATATATATATTAACAATTTTATTTTTACCTTTAGTAATATATTAACTAGATCCAAAAACATTATTAGTACTTAAAAATATTAGGTATATCATTCGTCCGATACATAAAACGTGCAACGCACGTGCTTATTACTATTATGTTAAATGTTGTTTTCCAAGATACACTAACCTATGACCAATGCGAGATGATCATTTTCCTAATCCAAATTCATATGAAAGTCATGTATCTAGTTTAGATTATTAATAAGATTGCATGTGTGAAATAGGATTATTCATAATTCTAACTATACATGTTGATTTTATCTTGTTTTGAACTTATTGTGAGTATTCCTATACTATAACAAGCAACTAATATTTAATTGATAGCCATTCAACTAAATAGTGCAATGAGTATGTAAAATCAATCAAAAAAAATACAAGAACTTTCTAAATTAACGTCTTGAATTGATATAAATGAAAATAGGATTCAAACATTCATCCAATACAAATAAAGAACAATCCTAACATGTTTAAAATTATATTACGAATAAACAATTGGGAAATCATTACTAGGAAAGAAGAAATAATGAAGAAATAGGAATTTTTCACATTCTTAATGTGAATCTTTGATCCGGATGAAGAATCTTCAATATCTTTACAATTCGTCTTGATTCCACATTGTTAGCCTTATTCTTCCCCTTCAAAATTGATTAGAATCTATGATTTTTTTAGGTCCAATGAGGTTTTAAAGTTTTGTACGGTTTATGGTATATGTAGTGTTAAAAAATTGCATATCAAAAGTTTCCAAAACAAAATAAGAAAACAAAATTTTTTCTCGGAATTGAACCATGGTTAAGCATGGTTTATTTGGTGAGTAAGCACAATACACGAAATTTGACCTCAGGTAATGCTTTTTGTGGCCTTGTGTACAACTCCATCCGTACGCACAGTACAATTTCTTAGGACTAATTTTGCAAATTGTTCCCTAAACTTTTTCACGTGTGTATTTTGATCATTTAGACAACTCATTCCTTTGACTTCTCTTCAACTCCAAGTAACTCTTGGCATTCTTGAATCGCCATCGTGCAATCCGACACAACTTTTAACTGCATTTTAGTTCCCATATTTTTTATTTCGTCATTTTTCTCTGTTTTTGGCTTGTTTTTTCCAATTCTTCATCAAATCATGA